AGTATATTGTACCCCCTAACCTCTCCATCCTCTCACCACAGGGTCACTTAGAGATGAACTTTTCTATCATCCTTAAGATTAACCTAACCTAACCTAACCTGACCTAACCTAACCTAACCTAACCTAACCTAACCTAACCTGACCTAACCTAACCTTGCCTAGCCTAACAAATGCAGCCTAACCTAACCTAATCTAACATGATGCAGCGTAACCTAACGTAACGTCTCCTAATCTAATCAAACACTAACCAAACATTTCCTTATCTAACTAACCCCCCTCCCCCAGGAAGTGTTAGGGTGCGGGAATAATTTTGAAAACGTAATTAAATCAAGTGTTTACAAGTTCCATCTAGTGTGTAAATCTAACAGTGAATCATCGAGGAGAATTTGTAGTCTATATAAATATTTTATTTTATTTTTCATTTTGTTTTTACACTTAATATGACTGAATACACTGAGTGACACCTGCGTTATCTATATACTTGGTGAATCAGTTCAAACTTGTATGGCAATATTGCTGAATATCTATATAACTACACATCATTAAACCGCAAAAAAAAAAAAAAACTCGACCATCAAAAGCTTTACGAGGCAGACAGACAAATGTGTAGCCTAGCTTATACCGGAACCAACAGGGGACAGATTCTCGACACTCACTCAGTTTTTATTTTCTCTCAAGCTAGGAATGTGATAATGCATTTAATTAGCTCATTTAAAAGATGGAAAAAAATGCAGCCATAATTGTATCGGAATTAAAGTTCAGACTCTCCCGTATACTAGATGCCTTCCATTATTTGTATACCTGCTGTCTGTGTATATATTGCATATCTGCATTGTTTATATACATGCTGAATCAATATAAACTTATAATTTTAATTAATACAGTAAATATCTATCTATGTATATATCTTCCCCAGTTAGTTAATTTTCTAAATCATGTTTATCTCTTCTTTTTTGCTTTCCACCGTGTTTTATTTATTTTTATCATTCTTTTCTCCATATTCACGCTGTTGGTAGTGACGTAATGGAGACGAGCACAGGTGTTGGGGTAGTGGTGGTTGTGGTGAATCAGCTGTGCCAATACTGTCTGTCTCTCTATATACTGCATGTTTTTCTTTATCTTTATATTTTAGTATTTCCTTTTTGTGTTTCTATATATGTGTTTGTTGTATTTTTCTTTTATTGTCTTTGCTTGTCTTCTCTTTCTTTTAATCGTTTATTTTCGTGTAATTTTGTTCTTATTTTCTAATTTTTGTCTTGCTTCACCTCATCTCTTCATTCCCCACAATTATGGAGAGAATATGTAAGGACAATGACAATATTTTGATGGGAAAATGGAAGAGATATCTCACGTATCAATAAGTCCACATTGTCGAGTTGTTAAATCTCTTATTCAGCCGTGAGAGATCGTAGTGAAGATTCATATGGGATTTGTCTTAACACATGAGACCGTTGAAATATTAATTATCATAATATATAGATTTTACTCGGTAATATCAACACGTGTGCATAATTAAGTATAGATTATAGGTTAAGTAACTCCATATGGTGACGGAATCGTTAACTGATGCCATTCCTGTGATTGTAAACATATATCAAAACTTTTTTACCGTAGCCTCAAACACGTCTGTCAGTAGCAGGTTATTCTGTGGTGACATTTTAATTCTTTAGTGGGATTAAATGTGTGTTTATAGTGTTTGTGGTAGCTAAGGATGAAGTTTGAGTCTTGATTAAGTTTAGCCCCGCTCTATCTTGCAGTTGGAGGCCGTGGTGAAGGCCCCGCGGGAATCCAAGACGAAGAAGAGAGGTCTGGTGAAGGTGTCGGTGTGGGTATGTGAGCGTGTGTGGCGTCACGGGGCCATAGGGCACGCTCTGGCGCCCCTCACAGAGCCCTCAGACCCTGTCACTGTGTCTCTCCACCACCACACTCAGGTACGTTGTCCCATTGAACCTATCACTGTCCTTCACCACCACTACACTCAGTCATATGTCTCAACCCATTGTCCCCGCAGTCCACGTCGTTCCCTTCCCTCCACCTGCGCCTTAATACCTTCCTTACTCAGTATCATCCATAGGTATACGACTTATATCTAGAATTTCGAACTATAGTGAACGAGTCCTTGGTCTCTAGCCAGTCTGTCTCCTGAAGGTAATTTCGTGTGGAGACGTGAACACCTGCTAGGGTTAATAATAATAATAATAATAATAATAATAATAATTAACGGTTTATTGAAAGAGCTTGGCAGCCAGAAGGCTGAAAATATACAGTTACATATTTGGGGAATGGGTTATGAATTACAAATAATATACAAGTAACATAAGTGACACAAATAAGACATATAATAACTAGATGGGGAAAAGCTCAAACTACAGTGTGACAGTGTAAGGAGCAGTGTTTACATGTACACCCACATCCCACACAGTACTGGTTGGTTATAAACGACGCTTCCAAATGTTTAACGAAGTGTCTGTCATTTGTCTTAGGCTCTGCTCTCGCTGCGTGTTCCCGAGTATCAGTTGTCTTACACCAAACTCTCATTCTTAAGACCCCCATAACGTGCAGTGTTTCATGAACCATTTAAACTCGTATTGAATGACAGCAATAATAATAATAATAATAGTAATAATAATAATAATAATAATAATAGTAATAATAATAATAATAATAATAATAATAATAATAATAATAATAATAATAACGGTCATATTATATTCCTTTCGTCATTGCACATTTCCAGCAAGAATGAAAATCAATTATATTAACGTAATTAAACCAGTAGTATAATTTCTGAGGTAGATGATAAATGTTAATTACTCTTATACATTTTGATACAGTTATGACTCACTTGCCAGGATTATGACACGCTACACTATTATAATATTAACAATCTGTGATATACTACTGCACTTTAACAATTAAGGTCTTTTATCGCATAGTCCAGGTTTACATACATAAGTCATCAGCGGTCAAGAATTAGGAGATAAATTTTCCTCTGTTGTCATCTTCATCACCCTTCATTCCAGCTGACGGACGACCTGGGTGTTGTGGAGGTGAGTCTTCGCTGTGACTACCACGACACAAGCACCGAGGGAGTAGGTAATTCAGCCCAGGGAGAGGTGACCCTTACCCTGGAGGTGCTCAGAGCAAGGAACTTAAGGCCTCACCACCCCAGCGTCTTCTCTAAGGCTGCTCACTCGAGGAAGAAAGGTATGGTTTATATTCCCTCTGTAACTCCTGCAGGTCAATAGAGTATGTGTGTGTGTGTGTGTGTGAAACCAGCGTATTAGTAAACCAGTATGTGTAAAATGTGTAGGAAACCAGAACTATTTTAGGTACCCATAAATAATGTTGGTATCCGTTTTCTGTGATACCATCACAGATATCGTGGAGGTGGTGTGTCGGGTGGGACTCTGGGTAAAGGGTGAAAGAATAGAGAGAGAGTCTTCGACGCCTGTCCGGTTGCCTGTGACACAGGATCCTGTCTTCCGTTCTCGCTCAGTCTTCATCCTACACAGGGAGAACCTACAGCATGCTGCCATTCTCCTTAAGGTATCTCGCACTTATGTTCGACGAAACACCGGGAATATTTTGAGGATATTTCCTTCTGGGATAAATTTCAAGCTTTAATCTACCTCTATATTGTTCCATTGTTGGGTTTTCCGGAACATATGAATGAATTAACTGATTACTGAACTGATAGATACGTGATTATACTGTAGAGACAAATAATTATTAATTGCAAATACAGCAACAGTTTGATGTCCCTCTATTCTTTAAAAACTAAAGTATCCCCTTCTCATGTATTAGGCAGGGCTGCATTTTTTCACTAGTTGTCGCACCTATAGACTCCCTTCGTGTTATGTTGTTTGGCAGGTGTTGTACACTAGCAAGTGGGGTGTTGAGGACACGGTGGGTCGGTTACAGCTCGGCCACTTGCTGTACCTTGGCTCCTCCCCTGATCACACCTACTTGACGCCACCGCCAGACTACAACACCTCTATTACCCTCTCCCACTGGGGCCAGGCGCTCAAGACCCCTGGACCCAACACCATGTGGCACCACCTCCAACTCTGACCAACCCCGCTGCCCAACCCATCTCTATGACTACCTACACCAGGATTCTCTAAAGTACTCCTGCCTTGATCTATGCCAACGCATCTGACCCACTCTAGTTAGCCTACAGCATATGTGGTGGCCAGAATAACGTCGACATTATACCGAAACTTAGGAGGAAACACGTGCCTTGTCCTGATCACCTGTAGGGGCGGATGTATACAGTAAACCTACAGTAATATTTTCTGAGAATCTTGGCTCAAGAAATGTTGATTATGTGTGGTTTATACGCCGGACATTATTCGTTATTGAAGATACATAAATTTAACTAGATTCACTTAACACCATTTAGGACATGAAATTTAGATAATATTTTCCGAAAGATTCTGTACACACTAATACTGCCTGGAGCTGAGCAAATATGTGTAGTTACAGTGGAATCGCATTGTAACTCTGATATTATTTTAAGACATTACTTGAGGCAACCAGATGGTGCCTTCTCCCGTCTTTAGTTACGAGGAGAATGGATCACATCATCTGAGGATGTTGTCATTGTTAAGGGGGGGGCCACTTAGTGATATGTAGATATTTATTTTAGCTACTATAGTAATACTTAAAGAGTATACTGAAAATATTGTTATCCTCTTTGATGGTTTTATTATGAACCATTTGGGTTAGTTTGACTAAATCTTAATGTTACTTGTACGTCTCTGATCATTTGTTTCATGTATAAAACGGAGGCAGTATAGCGAGTAGCGGCTTGATAATGAAGTGATTCGCATATTTTGGTTGATAATTCATTCGTGATGTACTAATTTACAATATGAATGTCAATATATTTGTATTACAATAACCAAAGAGGAGTTTCTCAAAAACACTGAAATATTTATACGCGATTATGGTTAATACGATGGTGATAACACTACAGTTTGAATGTAATTTATGTGAAACTTAAGACATTGTGTTTACTTCTCCAGATATAATAGGGGCAGGTACTGACGCAACCCACTTCAAGACTGAGGCTGATGCGCGTTACCGTGAACACAATTTTAATTTGATGTAAAATTATTAAGTTGATGCTCATATGTACAGTACTACCAATTTTTCGCTGAGTTAGTCCGTCCTAGAAATGACTACACGTTGTGGCAGTGTCACTCGTGGATATCACTCACTTAATACGTATAGCTAAAGTTGCCTCCCGAAAGTTGGGAATGCTGTACAGATGCCGTAGCTACTTCACTCCTGAGCAGTTGCTCCAAGTATATAAGGGATTCATTCGTCCTAACTTGGAGTACTGCTCTCATATCTGGGGTGGCTCTTCTTCTGTCCAACTGTTAGATAGGGTGGAATCAAAGGCATTTCGTCTTATTAACTCTCCTCCTTTAGTCGACAATCTCTCTTCCCTTTCTTTTCGCCGCAATGTTGCTTCACTCGCTCTCTTTTACAGGTACTTTAACGGGCAAAGTTCAGTGGACTTGGTATCCTGTGTACCGTGGGCAAGGCAGTGGGCTCGTAACACATGTCTTGCCCGTGGTGCCCACCGTTTCTCTGTGGATGTCGGTCACACAAGAATAACCCGTTATAGTGCCTCCTTCTTTCCTCACACAGCCAAACTGTGGAATGCTCTGCCTTCTGTGTTTCCATACTTATACAATCTGTCTCACTTTAAAAAGCTGCTTTTCCGGCATCTTCATGGTGTAGATTAACACAGTATAACCCTTTTCTTCTCTATATTCAATTTCTTTCTGTTCTTATTTTTTCGCCCCCCAGGCCCCGTTGTGGGTCGTTTGACCTGTGCCCGGGTGGGCTAATTCCCGAGAAAAAAAAAATCGAGCAAGGTGTCAGGTGTCGTATGTGCCTGTGTTTGTGGCTGTCACATAACGTCACACACTCCCATAAAGGAGCATCTATATCTACAAGATGGTGGCCCGCACAAAGGATTATGGGAGTTGTGATATTGTAAACTAATAATATTTGTATATTGTTTTGCTGTATCTTAATTCGTTTTACTAATTAAATTACAAATAATATCAGCATCGTAGAAACCAAAAAAAATACGAGGCTAATACAACGAATATAATGTTAAAAATATTATACAATGCACGTTTACAATCGTGTCGGGGACTACATGACTAAACGATTTCTGTGGTTAGCCTCAAGCTCAAACAATTTTTAACTATGATGGTGGTTATAATTTATTTTTATTTTAGTTAAAAATTTCCCAATCTCATAACGGGTGTGTGTTCTATGTACAGATTCTTAATTTGTATTGACGTCACAACTCCCATACTCATTTGCGCGGTCCACCATCGTTTTGGAATAGACGCGTTGCATTAAGGGGATTGCGACGTCAATGCAAACTAAGAATATTGTGCGCGTGCGTTTTATTGTTTGTGTATTGAGCGTATGTCTTATTCAATAACCTGTCTCATTCAATAAACTGTACATCAGAATGTAATACCAACAATGAAAAGTAAACAGACATTTCTTGCAAAACTTACGTGAAAATTTAGAGGAGAGAAATTATGGCATTAATTTACAACAGTTTAAATATTCTAAAACAAAAACACAAACCACAGACGCTTCAGGTGACACGTAATCTTTACCAGATCTGAAATTACCGCACCGCACTAGCTCGTTAGCGATATTCAGGTGCGCACACAGCAATGCAGAAGGGGTAATTGGGCATCATTCGTCGGGGTAGAGCCGTAGCCCCTAGAGGTCAAGCCTGCAGGCAGTGGCAATCTAATCTAAATCTGTCAGTACTCAGTCGTGACCTGGAGTCGTTTGTGTACGTATATGTGTTTACGCTCACTGGTCACAAAGGTGCACAGGACGCTGCTTACTTCAAGGTAAGTGAAGTGATAATTTTTTAGATTGGCTTCTGTGTTCATATAGTACATGCAGAAATACAGGAAATATTCACACATTGAACCGCATACGGACATGAAGTGAATGCATACGCTTATTTTGTTATCTGGTACCAATGGAATCAACTTGGGTGAAGCGCTATGGTGTAAACGTTTTTTGTGAACGTGAGACGCTAGGACCGAGCTAACGGCTGTAAACAATCAGACGACACCTGGCCACTCAGCTGATTTTTCGGAGAGTATTTACGGCAAATAACCAGAAATGTTAAATATCTCGCTTACATGTAATTTGTGATAGAAATGCCATTAGGAAAAGTGATAGAGAAGGGTGAGATTTACCTACTATAATAACTATTCATTTGTATAATAATATCGATTGAAATACATTCATATTAAATAACATCATACCGTATATTAAAAAAAAAAAACTTTGTTAAGTAGCCATTTCAAGAATCCGAGTAGTGACGACTGAAAACTTGTTATTATTTTTCTGGGTTGATATATATTTTGAGGGGTTCAAAGCGGCAGAATCTCAAACACGTGCCGATATAAAGAACTCTCATCTTCACGTTAATCGGCTCAAGAAACTGCAGCACGATCAAACTCTCCCAACTTAAAGGTGTTTTACGCAGCTTCGATGGCGATCTTGGGTGCTGCTGCATCGTGCAACAAGTTTATCCGGAGGGGAAGATTGACTTATTGACGCTCTTTCATTGTAAAAGTAATGTAAACTATATTTCTTTGCAATTTACTACTTCAGTGTTGTTAGTCGAGTTACCTTGATGCATCTCAGCATTTTGGCAAATTGATTTTAAAACTACGCCCACAATAGGAGAAAAACAAGAACATTGTATATCTGGACTGGGCTACACGTTGTGCCCAGGAGCGAACATTGATAAGTTGCTGTTTTTTATACTCTGGTATTTCTAGGGAGACAATAATGACTCATTCATAGTTAATTATACCATGATTTAGTAATGTTTTACGGTTCTTCTGAGCCATAGTCATGACCTATCACAGACATCTTGAACCCTTCTAGTAAAACGTACAAAACTTTAAGTAATGGATACAGTAACTACAGCAAACCCAACGAGACTGACAACGATGTCGCGGGTACCAAACTACCAACTGGTGTGTTGCTAATAAAAATAAGACGCATGTAAACTTTAGTTCAAACGCAATATAAAAAAACTGGTATCACGGGCTCTATAGTCATGTGAAAATCAAGTTTTCGTCAATGATAAGATTCTAGAACTGCATTACACTGGAATGGCAGCAGTTACTGCATGCACGAGTTATGTCTAATCGTATTCGGTTAAACTATATTTTCGTATTACCTAATAAAATGTCTTTTAGTGTCATACAAAGCGCACTCTAGAGCAGTATATTGCACCCGCCGTAATAGCAACTTGCCTTGAATAGCTTCGGAAAGGAAAATGTAGGCAAAGTCCGAGGTTGCAACACTGCAGCTCTGTAACAGGTTGCTGCCGCTCGCCACTAACTCTGTAGAATGAGAATCAATCCCCAAATTCTCGGCCTGTGGGAGACATCGAAGTAAAATTCAGCCCACCGAAAAGTATTGATGATTTCACCCTGATTTGTCTCGTCTCGCGCTCACGTAACTATCTGCTGCCCTCTTTTACCTCCTGCGTGAGCCGCAGTGACCAGCTTCATCACCTAAGCATCCAGTGATGAGAATATCAGGCTGAACATTACCAAGTGAGGAAAGTTTCTATTGAATTTTCCCCTGGTTTCCTAGCTAGGTTTGACGCATGCGTGGCAGCCGTTCCTTGCAACGAGAATTCCCATCTACAGAACAATTATATATTATTACATCAGCCTCTTTCACGTTGTGGTTATGGTATACTGAAATTATAATATAATATTTTACACACCTACCTAATCAACTGTACCTGGAAGTCCTATCATGAGGAAGTAAACAGTGTAGTAATGTACGAGTTGTGTAGGTACTTCATACGTCTGGCAGGTTGAGAGAGGAGTGCAAACCTGTGCTGGGCACGGCACGAGGCGGTGCTCACTGTATCTCTTGGGTTGTGGTTCTCGTCCTATCACTACTCCTCATTCATCTTTCCGACAGTGACTTTGGTATTTCCCTTCTGCTCTGCATGCCTGTCATTTTCTAGTAGAAATAGATCACTCTTGGACAGAATGCTGGCTGATGCAAATAGACCGGATTATATATTTTTCTTTTGCCAAGCGTAGATATTGTAGGCCAAAGCCTATTTTCGCATGGAAAATATAGCCATATAACAAAACGATGATACGTAAATCCATCAGTTTTATTTAAGGTGGACATTGTTACAAGTTGAAGTTAATTTTAACGATGAAGTTCACCAGTATAAAAGTTTTGAACGCATGTTAAGTAGGAAGTAAAGCACGCTCTTTGCCTTTGGTTGAAGCTACCATAAGCTCATAGCAGCAGATACTGTACAAGGACTGTTGAATGCCCAAGCATGTAGAAAGCAAATTAGTATGTAAAACTGATTTATAGTTGTAGACGTTTGAAGAGAATGCAAGTATAGGCTTGTCAATACAGTATATATTCTGAGAGTGCATGGGCGCCGTTAGCATTAACGGTGAGGCAACAGAAAAACGGAAAAGTAACGTTTTGAATATACCGATTGCGAATAAATCCGGACAGTGTATATAATCGTATATGTCCTGATAGTGACACGTTCTCTGGGATGAATATAAGGTATACCGACTTTTCACGTTATATATGATCATATGTGCCTCCTTATATCCATTACTGTAATCTATAATTCATTATTTGATGTCGCGTGTGTTAGCATTCACAAACGTTGCATCATATAAGGAGTAAAAAAAATAATCGATCAGATGTCGATAATTACTACAGTTAGTTGAATAATCTGCAATCACTCGTAATCCTGATCTTACAGTGAATAGCACACACACACACACACACACACACACACATGCGTAAAATCTGAGTTTCACAGCCACACTTGAATTCACAGGCGGTATGATCTATGAAAGGCTGAAACGAAAGGTCAGGAGGATCTATTGAGTGCCTCATTCACACACTCGTCGATCCT